AAAATTAGGTGATCATATTTTATGACATCTAATAAAACTTTGTGAACTTTAGTTTAATTACACAAGTCATGGTAACAAGCATCAAATGTATTTTCTCTTCACTAGAACATTAAGGAAAAGGATAATGTTCTTATTGAACTACTGTCAAAATGTGAAAAAAAAAATTATTATTCGTCCTTTCATCATAATTTTTTTCTTGTTAATGTCAAATCTAATCTTTTCATGAACAAAATTTTGCAATCCCTAATAAATAAGTACCAATAGATCTAGTGTAAATTAAACTCATTTGTTTATTGTATGAAGTATTATAATATAGAATGCAAATTGTAAGTAAATCAATATTTATTGATGATTTTCTTTGCAATATTGACAAGAAACCAAATAACTCAAAATATTAATTCTTCAAATTTGGTATAATGACCCTTGAAAATTATTTGTCTACATAGACTGATTGTCATATGATGAATATTCCGAGGACTACAAGTTTGAATTTTGGAATTTGGATGGATAAATAATTAATAAATAAGTTGGAACGAGATGTTTCCATTAAAGAAAATGCAAATATGTGTACATTTTTAGTAATGCTATTTATTTATCTTTAGTGTTGAACACCAACAATAATGAATAAAATTATTTATATAATTAAATATGTAATAGATTTATGCTTCATATGGCCAGGGGTTGTTCAACCAGTTCAGTTCATGGGGCATAGGGGTAGTAATGGTCGACCATATGTACAAATATATGAAAGAAAAATTCTAGGGAAAATTAGGTCCAATACTAAAGTTGGGCACGTGTAAGGAAAAATATTGCTCTTTTAAAATAATTCGAATGACAAGGTTGCCGTCCATTCCATCTACATAGTTTGTGATCACGATCACATGCCAGTAGTCACAAACAACACAAGGTCATACACACAATTGTAGGTCACAATTACAAATTTAGTCACAAATTAAACGTTTTTATAATTCACAAATTATTTATCGATCACAAATAAAAATTATTTGGTCATAATTTATTCATCGGTCACAAAGACACAAAATGTATGTTACAATTACAATTTAAACACAGAACGCACATTTTCAGGTCACATACTATTTTTTGGTCACAAATTACTAATTTTATTTGTCACAATTGCCTAATAACTAGTCACAACCGCTCTTTATTCCGTCCATTCCGCCCATTTGTAGAATTTATACAACTTGTTATGAATATTAAAGCCAAGAAAATATGAGTAAGACGAAAACGATCAGATAAAAACACAAGATCTAACAAGAAAATCCAAATTTGGGATAACCACAGGCAGAAGGAGAGAATTCACTATGATTAATAGTAAAGAAGTACACAATGATCTCGCAAGACTCTTTACCTATCTCAAAATATGTGGGTCTCTTTCTCTCTCTTTCTATAATCTAGATCCTCTCACTTTGATTTTCTCTCAATGCTATACAATGTTTTGATATGCTCTCATAAGGTTATGAAGATGATATATCACGTGGGGGTATATATAACAACTCATTACAAATGTTTTGAATGAAATACAATATAAGAAACAAATTAGAATTGAAAGAGGATTCATGCCCGGATAACATCGGCCCTTGAGCGTCAGGCGTGCAGCGGTCTCAAAGTTCGAGCGTAACGACTATAGCGCTGGGGCATTGCTTCTCGATCTAAAATTTACCATTTCTTTCGTTAGGGGCGCCCAGAACCTAGCACTTCGGGTGCTAATTTGATGTCCAGAACCTTAAAACTAAGTCTTCAATTATCTCTAGTCATTTTACCAATGAAACTTTAATCATTGATGAATATTGATCCCCCTTTTCAACCGAACTTCCAAATTAATAAGATTTTTTTCCTTTTATTAATTAACCAACCCAAACCTAATCCCAATAAGAGTTTGGGTCATACTTCAACAATCTCTACCTTAATACAAATTCCAATGCAATGATTTATTCTTCAAGAAATTTTCCAAGCAAAGTACTCAAACTCCACCTCTTCCGCTATGCCTCTCTTGGCGTGCTCGGCAACTGTGAACAAAATTCAAACCTATTTACCAGTAGAATTACATTGGGCTCCAAACCTTCTTGAATTATCCCATTCATATCCAACTCCACTTGAGTTACCAAACTTGCTCGAAATGCCACGAACCACATGATCATCATGATCAAGACTAGCTCCACAAAAGCTAGTGGTAGATTCTTCAATATCATTGCTCGAATCACCAAGAGCAATATGATCACAACCAACTCTAACCGAGTTACCTTTTATTGAACCATAAGCCGCAACTACATCGAGAGTACTTAGTGAGATATTTTTGTTCAAAAAAGTAATATATCTCACTTCACCAGGTTTCCTGACCTTCCCATCGAACATCTTGATTATGACCTTACCAATACCAGCTATTTTACAAAACAAATTATTTTTCATTGCCATGGAACTCCTTGTAATAGTTTCATATGTTGAAAATCAATCATTGTTAGAACACATATGAAAAGTGCATGCTGTATTAAGAATTTGTTATATATTAGTAATATATATATGTTTCATATTAGGGTGCAATAATGTTTATCAAATTATCCTAATTTAAACTATAGATGTTCTAAATTTCAGTTATAATAAAACGAAATATTTTTATTTAGTACCTGATTTGTTAAACTTTTTTATGAGTTTGTTAAATGCAAAATTGTATACTTAAAATATTGTGTTTACGTATTTTCCCTAACAATAAACTACTAGCATAACACCAATTCCCTAAGCCTAGGCCGAACTTCGTGTTAGTTAGGTTATGGACTTTAATTTCTCACATAGTGGCATACGTCACCCCACTAATTAATGCCCAAATACTAATAGAGTAATGATATTTAATATCATAGAGGTTACAATCCCAATTTAGGTGGCGCTAGATGATAGGCTAAATAAAAGATGAAATTAAACGACTTATTTAATTTCACATTTCATTTAGTCTATCATCTAGCGCTACCTAGGCTATCATTGTAATCCCAATGAGTCTACTTGTTCACGAAAATATGTTTCGAGTTTAGATCACCGCAAGTGTACGGTTCGTTGACAAGTAATAAAGTAGAAATTGTAAAATTTCGAGTATCGTTCCCACAAGGATTGATCTAATCTAATTTCTATTATTGTAACCTTAACCGTAACTATAAAACTCAAATTGGTAGTTTTTGTGATTTTAATATGAAATTGTAAATAGCATG